TGCTGGTTAAGTTTTTTTTTTTTTTTTTTTTTTGTAAGTCTCTAATTCTTACCAAGGCATAACAGAAATATAGTGAAATGTTATAATAATTTATTTTAAAATGTAATTTATTCATGTGATGTCAAAGCTGAATTTTCAACAGCCATTACTACAGTCTTTAGTGTCACATGATCCTTCAGAAATCATTCTAAAAAGCCCAAGAAACATTTCTTATTATTATCAATGTTGAAAATAGTTGTGCTGCTTAATATTGTTGTGGAACCCATGACACTTTTTTTTAAGATTCTTTGATTAATAGAAAGTTTAAAAGAACATCATTTATCTGAAACATAATTTTTTTTTTTGCTAAAGTAGTTACTGTCATTGTTGCGATCAATTTAATGCATCCTTGCTGAATAAAAGTATTAAATTATTTTTTTTAAATCTTACTGACCCCAAACTTTTGAATGGTAGTGTATATATTTGGTTCTTGGGCCACGCCCACACTGAGGCTGCGCTCACTGAGGCAGACTGCTCTCACTGTGAGAGCATAAGTCTCACGCAGCGCTTTGATCTGCCGGTGTGTTTACACATGAGGATCAGCACCCTCGTCTACGAGCAGTTTGATCTTTTTAGGCAGATCAGAGGAGAATGCTGTCACTGATGATTCTATATCACTGACAGCTTCAGATTTGGAGGATTGGGCATGCTCCGGAGAGGATCCTGACACCCTTCTCCCAAATAGATTATTACGGGCCGATGGAGAGCGAACTGATTCACATTCTCACCAGGCTGTGGAGAATCTCAGCACAAAATGTTTGGCTCCGGAAGAGCCTGCCCGTGCCATTTAGACGAATGATGCCCACTGGTCTGTCATCAACGAATCTCCCGCTAGAGACCGGTGCCATTTTTCCCGGAAGTTCACGATGAACTTACCAAGGCGTGGCACGCACCTACTCGGCACGTGTCCACTTTTCTATTCCTGCTGCCCTCACCTCTGTTGACGGCATTAGAGTAAGAGGATATGGCAAGTTCCTCTTTGAGAAGAGGCTTTCGCTGCACACCTCTACCCGCCATCTGCCCGACAGATTTGCAAAGCACTTCACTGCAGCGCATAAGTCGTCACAGGTTATGCACCACTTCCTGCCTAAGTGCTTCAGCCCCGTAGAATGAGGTTACTTGCTTCAGTTCGCTCGCAGGCCATCTCACTTCAGAGGCATTATTCAAAATTCAGTACAGGACAATAGTGCTCATGTTCTCCGGTCTGAAGTGCAAAATCTGCTTGCAGAAGGAAGCATGGAAACGGTTCCTCTAGCGAACAGCGAGTCAGGCTTTTACAGCTTACTTCTTCGTTCCCAAAAAAATGGCGGGCTCAGGCATCTGAAACGTGCACTTAAGAATTGCCCATTCAAGATGCTGACTTGGAAGCAGATCCTCAGACAATATGCCCCGCGTAGGGCTGCACGATAAATCGCATGCGATATTTAACGCGCATCTTATGAACCGGCTTTCCGACAAGATGCGCATTAAATATCGCATGCGATTTATCGTGCAGCCCTAGCCCCGGGGATTGGTTTTTTTAATTGGTGGATCTGAAAGACATTTATTTTCACATCCAGATAGCCCCTCATCGCAGACTGCTCTTGAGATTCACGTTTGAGGGGGTGACTGTCTCTGGCCCTACGCACTTTAAGAAGTGCACAGACGCCGCTCTTTTACCCTCTGAGACAGATGGAAATCTGCATTATGAATTACCTAGACCATTGGCTGGTCTTAGCCAGATCGGAACAGGATCTCATCGCTCACAGGTTGCTGCTGCTCAGCCACCTGGACCGGCTTGTGCTAATAATTAATTTAGCCAAGAGCTCTCTGTCTCCCAGCGAGTAGTCTTCATGGGGACAGTTATTGATTCTGCCCAGATGCGGGCATGGATTACACCGGAACGCTCTCTCACTGTTCAGCGGCGTCATTCAAACTGGGTACTTCACGTCCCCTCAGCTCTTTCCAGAGGATGCTCGGCCTGATATCGTCCACGTCCTTTGTGATTCCTCTTGGAATGCTTCACATGTGGCCCCTCCAGTTTTGGTTCAAAGCCTATGTTCATGTACCGGGCAGACTGAACCAAGGGGCAGACATGCTGTCCAGGGACAATGTGGCTCCAGGAGAATGGAGACTACATCCCCAAATGGTTCAAATCATCTAGTCTGTTTTCGGCAGGGCAGAGGTGGACCTCTTCCCCACAGAAGACAACTTTCACTGCCCAACTTATTTTTTCGAAGCAGCGAGATGCCTTCCCCCTGGTTGCCCTGCTTCCTCAGGTTATCAGACGGGTCAGGGAAGTCAGATGCTCAGTCCTCTTGGTGGCCCCACTCTGGAGGAATCAAGATGTGGTTCCCCAAGTTGATTCAGCTGCTATTGGCATATATTAATGAGGAAGGACCTTATCTCGCAAGCGAAGGGCATGACTTGGCATCCCCGGCCAGAGCTGTGGAGCCTTCATGTTTGGCCCCTTGACAGGAGCCTTTGCAGCTCCCCATGAGTGTAACTAATACCATTTTAGAGGCTACAGCTCCGTCTACAAGACGTCTTTACGCCCTTAAATAGTCAGTCTTTCTGACTGGTGTGCAGCATTGAACCAGGACCCATCATCGTGCGACATGTCCTACATGCTAACCTTTTTACAAGAGCTGCTGGACAAGGGGTGCACCCCTTCCATGTTCAAAGTATATGTGGCAGCCATCACGGTGAATCATTATCTCGTGGCTGGCCTGTCAGTCAGCAGAAAGGACCTAGTCGTTAAGTTTCTGAGGGGAACTCGGAGATTGAGTCTGCCTCGGCCTCATACTGTGCCGACTTGGGACTTATGTATAGTCCTCAGAGCCCTGCAAAGTCCTCCTTTTGAGCCGCTCCAGTCGGCCGACTTGCGGCCCCTGACGCTTAAGAGAGCCCTCTTTCTGGCTTTAGCGTCGGTCAAGCGAGTGGGTGACCTGCAAGCACTGTCAGTCAGTGCTTTCTGTCTTTAGTTTAGGCATAACGACTGCAGAGTCATCCTCAAACCGAGACACGGCTATGTAGGGCTGCACGATAAATCGAAATGGAATCGAGAATGCAATTCGATAGAAGCTGCGATTGTCATGCGTATCTTTCAGTGAAGCACGGTTCTGTGATCAGCAGTAAATCTCCATCCAAAGGCCAGAGGGCGCTCTCGCGCTGAAACTCCAAATACGCCTCGCAGAAGAAACCCAGGACTGCAGCTGAATAAACAGAAGATTCAACTGCTTTCAATGATTCAACGTGACTAATAAACACACGACTACGGCAATATACGGTTTATCTGAGTTCTTATTATTATAATTTTCATTCAAATAAAGTATATTTATAATGCAATGCCTTTATCACTGCTTAAATACTATGAAATATGTTGCGTGGCTTATTCTGTGTAAGAAGCCACATCATCTCACAGAAGGATTTATTTCAAACACTCGACTGCCGTTATGAAGTGAGTTTGGAGTAAAAATATGTTATTAAATGTGGTATTTTCACATGCTTTCAGATGGAGCAGCATTTACTTCACAGAGCCGTAGTTCACTGAGAAGCTATGCAAACAGCTGTCATTATCGCGAACGATTTCATAATCGCGCAATAATTGCGATTTTTTTTTTGCATAACTTGTCAGTGAACTACGGCTATGTGTAGTAAATTCTGCTCCATCTGAAAGCACGTGATGATGATTTCCTGCTGATTACAGAACCGGCTTTACTAACAAAATGCGCATGACAATCGCATTCGATTAATCGTGCAGCCCTACGGCTATGTGCCAAAAGTGCTTTCCACTCTGTTCAGAGCACAAGTCATCCCCCTCCTAGCACTCCCCAATTTAGAAGGTGAGCAGGGTCCTCATTATTGGCTCATGCTTACATAGCAGTCGGCTCCTCCCCTTTTGGCGGGTTGAAGCGCTATTGGTTCGTGCAGTTACACGAACGTGAACAAATCAGGCTTCAGTATCAGAGTAAACAGTAGTTTCCCCATAAGCGTCAGCGACGCAATGCTCCTTCCCTTAACTCAGGGAACCGAGATTACGTTAGAAATCTGAGCAATCATAAAAATGTATTTGATTGTCTACAATGCTCAACGCTGCAGAAACCGGTGTTTTCTGTCACGGAACAGGCTGCGCTCCAGACTATGCCCCAGAGCACGTCGACGTTAATTTTTAAAAATAAAAAACTAGACAAGTTGTGCTCTGAGGTAGGCCTGCTATTTATTTTTATGTCAGATGAAAAACATGCAGATCTTCAAAGCATATATAAGGATTCAGTGTGTGTTAATTATTTAAGTGAAAATATTTTGTGTAGGCCTATTTTATTATTTTTATTTATATTATTTTTATTCTTTTTTCTTTGTTCTCAGAAGCAGTGCAGGTGTATTTTTATTGGGTCACAGACACTCGTCCATTCTGTTATTTATTTAATACTAATTTAATATTCAAATCTTATCAGTTAACGGTTAATGTTCATATAACGAGCGGCGGTTGTCGGTCTGGAAAATTAACCGAAATGAGCATCCCTTAAGCATATTTCAAAAAGTACTATTCATTTTTCAGTGTAAAACTTTTCAAATGAAGGGGGGGAAATGAGTATGACTTTATATGACTCATACTGCAAACAAATAACATCTTAAATTGGTGTGAAATCAACTCTAATCCCTGTTGATTAAGGGTAAAGGTTATATGAAGACATACTGGCTGAAGGGAAAGAGAGATCTCTCATTTAAGACCCCAGCAGAGCTCAGATACAGCAATGAGCAGAAAGACTCAGAAGACAGAAGCTCAAATGGGTGAGTTTGGAAAAGCACAACTCAAAACGCAACACTATGTGATCCACCCAGCTGAAAAGACCAGAATTCTAACAGGTGGACAAAAAATAACTGGTAAAACTGGTTGACAAGCTTAATAGTTGACTAAGGAACTTTTGCTAGTCCAAAAGGCCTACTGGGAACACTAGCATACCAACAAATACAAAACACAACATATGCAGATCTTCTTAGCAAGCACTTAATATAAGATGGCCTAACATAAATGCGCATTTAAAATTTTCTGCAGTTTAAAATGAACTATTTTGATGCCTGAAACATGATAATATGACTTACCTGCCAATCATTTGAGCAGGCCACAACCTTGCACTTTTCAATCCATCATGTTTTTTTTATGTTCTCCAGAAAAAAATCCTAATAAATAGTCTTAACAGTTGTGCTTGTGTCTTCTTCCATCTTCAATGCCTTTTCTCCTTAGTTCCACGAGCACCAACAGCAAACATTCCCCATCAAACATGAACACCCCCAATGAGGAGCAGGCTGAGGGCAAACCCACTCCCACTGACTTGCCCCCTGACACCCTGCCAGCACTAGAGGGCGCTACAGACCCAAACACATTCAATGAGTCCCAGGACAAAGAAAAGGTTAAAAAGACAAAGAATAGCAAAGGAGGGAAGGCAGAGAACGCTTCTGTTAATGCGCAGGAAAGCACTCCCCCTGCTGGCAGCCAGGAGAATGCAGCTCCAGAGCTAAACGACAAAAAGCACAGTTTCAGAAGCCAGTACTCAAGATTACCAGCTAACCTCCCTATGCGAAGCACAGCCTGCAATCTGCTGTGAATAGCCAGGAGAGATTGATAAAATAGTGTTTATTACATCACATATAGATCAGATCAGTTCTGCATTTGTGGCAGCAAATTGTGGGATTAAATCTGGTGAATAAATGTGAATGAACAATCTGGCTGTGGAAAATAAATCATGTTTTTCATGCTTCACACTTCATTTAGATGTGCCATAAAACACATGTAACCAAATTATATTGAAAATAAAAGAGGACATCCAAAGCCTGGGTATCAAACAGAAAGTGCAGTTTGGCTGCTGCAGTACTTCCTCATTAAAAAGTTTAACTGTATTTGAATGTTTTATTAATATTAACATGTGATATGTTAAAATCTATCTATATTGAGTATATTAGCATGTACAGTTACAACATTCATGTTAAACTTTAGAGAGATTAACTATGATACAAGTGCTGAATCCCTGTATTCATTCAGTTACTGTGACAACAAAGAGTTTGTTGTACCTCTTATATGTTAAATGTGATTGTTTACAGCTTACACTTGACTTTATTGTTTGATGAGCACTGTAATATTGCAGTGAAACACATACTTTGCTCAAGTAAGAGCGAACACATCAGATAAAACCAAGTGACCTAAATAAAACATGTGAACACACGCACACCCAAAGACAGACACCTACATTTAGACAGGCCTACACACACACACACACACACACACGTAAACACAGATATACAAGATAAACCAGGAAACACACACTAGCATGATATTCTTACCACTTAGCAAACTATCTCTGTCTCTTAAGCCACAAATAAAATTTGCTGATATTACTTCAAACTCTGCTTAGAGACAAGAAAGGAATAACATAAATGATATAAAAAGAAAATGTAACAGAAATCTTTTTAGAAAATTTTTTTACCAGATTAAGGCAGTCATAACATTTACATTATCACAAATATCGCAAAACACATTAAATTCATTAAACTGTAGCTAACTGGATATTCATTGCTTCATCTCTGAAACCCATTACACACTTGCACACACACACAACATGTCAGATATCATTCAGCGATAAAGAGGAAGCCATCAGGAAACCACTTAAGCGACACTTCCTGACTGTTGTCTTGGAGACAAGCTTAATTCTTACTTTGCCTGAATGGTCTTAGCTTTGCAGAAAAACACAAATGTCATGTTTTCAATTTCAGTCTCATACAAATGGAGGAGAAAACTACTGTAACTTGAGAATTCAGCTGAGGTGATGGATCTAAGCAATATTACAGATTGTAAACAAAACTTTCACAAATCAAGCCAGATGCATCGATTCATTTTGTAGTCTTTATGCATTAGAGCTTAAGTCCAGATGGTTTCCATTCAGATACCAGAGAGATAAGCAGCCTTTTTTAGTATAGACATTACCAATGCACAGACATTAGCCCTGAGGGTGACTTTCTATTACACAGGACCAATTCATTGTACAGCAGTTTCTAATGTTAGTGACTAAACAATGAAGTTTACAAAAGAAAAGGGCAAATAAAGTGCTGTTATCACCCAGCTTTCCATCAATGACAGACTTCACTTCTCTGTTTGTGTTTACAATCTGTGTTTGCATAGTGTTTGGAAGCCACACTAAAATAAAATGGAATATATAACATGATTGGCTGCCTAAGAACATAATATGTTCAGTTATAAAAGGATGTTTGTGTACAAAGATGTTTCCTTCATTAAGAGCATTTTTAGCCTTGTGGCCTTTTAGAAATAAACTTTATTATACATTTTTCACACTTTTAACTTGTCTACTAACAATATTTTAAGATACATGCATCATTGGAGAATTTTAAGAATACAAACTTCTAATATATATATATATATATATATATATATATATATATTAGGAGGAAAACATCCCCTAATGCCTCCAGTAAACAAACCAAAGGTGATTTTTAAAGCTTTAAAATTTAATATTTTTAGGGTGCATTTACATATGTTAAAACTGTCAAACAATTAAAACTATAAAGGAATTTGATGAGAAGCAATAAAATAGAATTAAATTAAATAAATGATGACACCACTGAAAAAAAGTTAATATAATAGCTTCATAATATAAAGAAAAAGAGCTAAACCTTGCTTAAAGTAAAAATCAACTGCTGGTACATAAATATCAAACAAAAAATCTGTGAACCATGCAGTTGTAAGCAAAGCAATTCAGTAATCCAATTAGCATAAAATCAATGAAATATCTGTATGTTTTTGATGTGTAAACAAATAGCTGTCCTAGCCATGCAAAGTGAGAATATTATTCAACTGAAAATGAATTCATGGTTTTGTAAGCAGTAAAAAAAAATGGGAACACTGATCAGAAAGCAGCAGCAGCAACAACAACACATATATATATATATAGTGATTAGTATTCAGTCCTTAAATCTGATTGTCTGAGTGGCATTTCAAGAGTCTTTTTGCTTGTCTGTTTGTGCAATTCCAGACCAGAAAATAGAACTCAATTAAATATCATAGTTTGGACCATTAATGATTTTGTTAAATAAGAAACACAGTTAAGTGAGAAACATAGCAGTGTCAGTGATGACAGTGGCTGCATACCAGATCACAAAGAGACTAAAACCTCCTTTTTCACTGTGCCGCATCCTGGATTACTGCTGAATTCTTTACAAGGGTTGCACTTGTTAGGGCAAGCAGACACACCATGTCAGCAGCTAACACACTGACAGGGTGGAGAGAGAAAGAGATGAGAGAGAGAAGCACACTCAGGGGTGTGTCTTATACATTTAGCTCCTCAAGGAAGTACAAGTCAAATTATCTTTTTACAGTAGTGTGAGCACAAGACAGAGTTTGTAGAGGAGTTTTCTTTGATTTCAGCTGTCTGAGGAGATTATTTCATCACTCGCGCGCTGGATTTCAACCACCTGATCTAAGCGCAGAGGAAGGACAGAGCGTTTGAACAGAAGAGGGAGAGTGAACGAGAGAGAAGCCAGGTGAGTTTGTCTTGGTCTTGACCTCTGTGCCCTCTCCTCCATCATCTCAGAGAGCGCTGTGATCATGTACACATGAGATGATGTTACTTTAGTTGATTAAAAGCATAGCAAACTCTTCCAGGTGTTGTTAAAATAAAATAAAAAAAGATGCCAGTATTCTGTTTTAACAGCAAGAGAAACTTTAATTTTATAGATTTGTTTTGTTTATTAGTGTATGCTTAGGAAATATGGAGGTTTGTAGACAATAATGTCAAGTTTAAACTTGTTTTCTGTTCAACCACTCCCATGTTAAACATCTAAAACACACTGGGATAGTTGATCTTCCATCCGGTGGACCTTTTATAAACAACCGTGTCCAGTCTTCCTTTATAAGCCAGCAATATGAAGAAAACACCATCTGCTGAAATAAAGAGTGTGATGTCTCATATTCAGGGTCAACCATGTCCTAAGCTCTGTGAACTCAGGCTTTGGATAGTTGATGTGAGCCTTTTTGTAGCAGCATGTGTCAGAAGAAATTAGCTGTTGTGGGTTTAACTGAAAAAAGGGGCTAAAAGCTGTGCCTAACAGCCCAGAGTTTCACTTCCTTTATGACCAGGTTTAACCATTGTTTGGTCATATTAAAAAAACAACTTCTCAGGCTGAGTTGAAAGAGTCGCACACATGCATATGAGTCACACACATGCTAACTTTACAAAGAAAACAACACTGGACTTTTACCACATGCAAAGAATGAAAATGGCAGTAAATAAACAGTGAAAAAACAGGCAGTATTGGGTAATAAGGAGAGTTTTGCACAATACCTGACATCATCACATACTCAGACCTTACTATTCAGGTGATGTGGGGAGATATTGAAGAGGAAACACATGGCACACTGAGAACAAGCACCAAACACATGTTTGCTCGCGTATGTCTGTGTAGACGGGCATAGGAATGATTTAAAACTGGGTAGACACATTAACGCATGATTCTTTAATGATTTTCTTTAAGCAATGATGATTAAAGCCTGTTATTAGAGAAAGCCAGGTTGAAAAGCCCAGCATGCGTTGTGTTTTGGATGCTGGCATATGTGGTCTGATGTCCTATCAGGCTTCTAAACTAGCTTAACCAGCTGGCATACTTCAGTCAACAAGCTTAATTGAAAGATCATGTAGAATTACATTTTTTTTTTTTTTTTTATGAGGAACATCATCATAAACCAGCTTGGAAATCTGTGGCGGTTTAAAGATAGTCTAGGTAGGGTTCTCTTTGCTGAAATCTTAAACCAGCCTAAGCTGGTTTTAGAGGGGGTTTGGGCACTGAGAGACCAGCTGTAGACCTAAAATAGATCTAAAATAGTTTAACACCAGTAAACCTGGATTAAGCAGGAGTTTTTTTCAGCAGGACTGACTTTCTCGTCATCTATCACTTTAATTTAGCCAAGAGTCATTCAGAAACAAACTGCTCCCACTCACTCACTCACTTCAAAACAGTACTTTCCACACTCTCATTTTATATACATTTATCGTAAAAGTCACGTTTGACCCTTCTGAAAAGACACAACAACAGTAGGCTGCCAAATCCTGTGCAACAGGTTTTGACCCATCTCTTCTGTGCTGTCACTTGGGCTTGTGCTGTGAGTTGCTGCTTGTAATGACAGGGTGACTACTGTGGTCTTTAGGATGGAGGAACAACATGATTCTTCATATCCTGTAAATCCCCTGGGCTTTACATACATGTGAACACACACACACACACACACAGATCCTCAGGCTTTGCGCTGAAGTCATCTGAGGAATGCTAAATATTTACCTTGTCTGTGAAAAACCTTTCAATCAGGAGAGTGGATGCAGATGGCCATGTCAGCTAATTCTAAGTGAAGAGGTATAACATTAATGAATTTGCTTGACCTTAGATTGCCTTAGATGTTTTTTGAAGTTAGAACTAAAAGTCAGTCGTAATCAAATTAATGTAAAGTTGCTCATGTCTCATCTTGTCAGGTATGAATGAGCTCAGTATGGGCCTCAAAAAATCTATGAGCACAATGATTTGTTTTAAAATAATTTAATTGATAATT